ATCATCTGGGACTGCAGGTACACAGGTCGCGGAAGCACGTGACCTGCGTTAAGCATTCGCGTATTTAAGATCCGCTGCGGCGCAGCCTGCGTCATGATGTCCGTGCATGGTGCATCGGCAACGGCCGGCCCGCGAAGGAAGGCAAGCGAGCAGTATATGTTTGCTGGACATTGTTGAATGCGGGCTCCAATACAAATTGAGCGGGAAAATTTATAGTCAGCCATTTTCCTTCCGCAAGGTCCTTCCTTGACTTTTGTATTTTCCTTTATCCACAGCCGCAAATAGCCCGCTGACCAGTGGAATTCCGAGCAGGACCGGTCCAATTGCCCACATTCTAGCAATTAGGCGACCAAACCGTAATGATTTGTGCAACTGCCATCGGCAGCAATGTCTGCAGCTCCGGGAAAGGCGTCCTCGCCGTATCAAAGTACGCCTGTACCGCGACGCGCACCCTGCTTGCAGCAGGCTGAAAAGCATGCAATGACGAAGACACCTCCACATCACCACGGTCAGTCCGCGCGGAGTCGGTGGACGTGCTTTGCGACATGGATGTCGAGCAAACTGCTTAACAGAACAAACGGCAAATATAACAGCAGCAAAACCATCCACAACCTAACAGCGAAATCGCCCACCCTAGTACACCGGTATACTGTATCCGTGAACATGCACACTCTATTCCGACTGCTCGACCGCTTCCCACATGTATTATGCTACCTCTGGACGGGCCACGTCAGAGATATGCACAGGCAAGAAATCATGCGCGGCCGCATGGTCTTCCGGCTGCGCTCCTGGCACGATGACTGGGAGCCTGCACAGACGGAGCGTACAGGAACAACGGCAGGCTGCTTTCACAGCACTCGAAGCTGCGGCCGATGAAGCAGCAGCATACATGCTTCCAGTGCAGGCTGTACTTGCTCCACAGCAGCACACACAGCTAGAAGCATGTACAGAACAGGAGGGAGCCAGCAGCTTGATAAAAGTGTGGCAAGCGAATCCCGATATAAAACAGCTGTACGAAGGAATGGCGCTCAAGGAAATCGTCCAGCGATGCAGATAGCAGGGCTTCTGCATGGCAGTGAAACCGCTGCAGCTCACAAGCACGCGATAAAAAAATAACAGAGATATGCACAGGCAGGAAATCATGCGCGGCCCATGCACAGGTAGCGTAATACATGTGGGAAGCGGTCGAGCAGTCGGAATAGAGTGTGCATGTTCGCGGATACAGTATACTGGTGTACTAGGGTGGGCGATTTCGCTGTTAGGTTGTGGATGGTTTTGCTGCTGTTATATTTGCCGTTTGTTCTGTTAAGCAGTTTGCTTGACGTCCATGTCGCAAAGCACGTCCACCGACTCCGCGCGGACTGACCGTGGTGATGTGGAGGTGTCTTCGTCATTGCATGCTTTTCAGCCTGCTGCAAGCAGGGTGCGCGTCACGGTAGGCGTACTTTGATACGGCGAGGACGCCTTTCCCGGAGCTGCAGACATCGCTGCCGATGGCAGTTGCACGTGGTATCGATTGCAGCGGCCATGTGGCGAGCTTCATTGATCATAGCGGTCTTATCCGGAACCACATCACTGAGATGCGGCCGGAGGCTTCACTGCCCGTGTACCATTTGGGGTGCACGTTAGATATCACCGGCCTATGGCCAGCGAACCCGCCGCACCGTTCTACGTTGTCCATTATTCACAATTATTTCCAGACCACCAACACCAGTACCGTCCGTGTGGCACCTGACGCGCCGGTAAATTTCCGCCTCCCGCAGTCGTCCGTGACGTGCTTCCTTGCACCGTGTGTCCTTTCTTTCTGTAACCGTGCTCTGTGGTGTGCAGAGCCTGCCGACGCTGGACACCGTGACCTCAGCGTCCTCACTATGGAGCCCGGTGGCTCCACATTTGGGCACGTTCTTCTCGTCACGGTTACACCCATCCGCCACGAGGACGTGCAGGAGTTGGGCAGCATGTTTCAGGTGGACAATGCTCGGTTCACTACTATGTCCACGGCTGGCCTCCGCACGGACACGGGTACACTCCAGGTATGGACACCCTTGAACGGTGTTCTGTCGTAGCACATACTTCCCAACTGTCGCCCATGTTGTTTAATCCATAGGTGGATCTTAGCGCGTTTGTGCCCAGCCTGCACAGCACTGTCGCGGCAGCATTCACTGCATCGGCTGCCCACCAGCGTACGCTGGTTCTCGCCAATGCAAACATGACAACGCGGGCATATGAGGGGTGTACTGCATCGTGCGTACGAATTCCTCGAGTGTACCGGCTGCACGTGTAGGCGGCACCAGTATCGAATATGGGTGTACACGGGAGCCATGTACAGCTCCCCGTACTCGCTCCCGTATTTTCGGGCAGCGGATCCTCAGCCATCATGGACGGTACTGGCGTTGGTGGTCTGGAAATAATTGTGAATAATGGACAACATAGAACTGTGCGGCGGGCGCGGCCGGTTCACTGGCCGTAGGCCGGTGATATCTAATGTGCGCCCCAAATGGTACACGGGCAGTGAAGCCTCCGGCCGCATCTCAGTGATGTGGTTCCGGATAAGACTGCTACGATCAATGAAGCTCGCCACATGGCCGCTGCAATCGATTCCACGTGCAACTGCCATCGGCAGCAATGTCTGCAGCTCCAGGAAAGGCGTCCTTGCCGTATCAAAGTATGCCTGTACCGCGATGTGCACCCTGCTTGCAGCAGGCTGAAAAGCATGCAATGACGAAGACACCTCCACATCACCACGGTCAGTCTGCACGGAGTCGGTGGACATGCTTTGCGACATGGATGTCGAGCAAACTGCTTAACAGAACAAACGGCAAATATAACAGCAGCAAAACCATCCACAACCTAACAGTGAAATCGCCCATCCTAGTACACCGGTATACTGTATTCGCGAACATGCACACTCTATTCCGACTGCTCGACCGCTTCCCACATGTATTATGCTACCTCTGGACGGGCCACGTCAGAGATATGCACAGGCAGGAAATCATGTGCGGCCGCATGGTCTTCCGGCTGCACTCCTGGCGTGATGACTGGGAGCCTCTCATCCAGCCGATGATGCCCAACAGCCCGAGTGAGTTGCCTGTAGGATTACAGCAGCGAAACGAACGAGGCAACCCACCCACACAGCCTGCTAAAGGCGGGTCACCGACACTTCTGCCTACTATATACAGCCTGCGATAGAACCGTGTGGCGGCTTGGCCGGACGGCCTGGCCCAGCGCCCAAACCTCATCACCGCTCTCTACAGGAGAGGCTTGGGTGGGGAGGGGCTATGGAAGGAACAGCCACGACCGCCGCCCACCGCCCACCGCCCACCATGCGCCCACCGCCCGCCACCCATACGTACGCGCCGCGCCGCACCGAGGTCCTCGGGTTCAGCCGGCGACCAGCTGGCCTAGGTATTGCGATACGTTCTGTCTTTCATTATCATATGATTATTTTTATTAGATCGCCATCCTGCTCTCGCTCATGACAACGCAATGAAGCCGCTCGTACGTAAATCCAACCAGACAGGCCTACACAGATGCAAACCTACATACATACATACATACATACATACATACATACATACGGCGGACATCAAAGCTATAAGCTCCTCCTGCTATGGTGCTAATGCTCACTAACAAAACACGGTAGCTGGGTAAGTGGTGGGGCTGGGTAAACATGCTGTGACACTGTGACACCGGACACCGCTAATGTCATTTCACCGCCGCCGCCGCCGCCGCCGCTGGCATCACTCCCAGCAGCCCCGCCAAACGCGCCTCCACGTCTGCCTTCTTGCCGCTGACAGGCGCCTTCCGGGCCCTCAGCCAGCACTGCATTTCCGGCAGTGTCAAGTCGCTCAGATGACCGGCGGCTGCCGCAGCGGATACCTGCGGCTCAGAAACACGGCGGCAGAAAAAAATACGGCGGTTGGGTAGTACGGGTACGGGGTACGGAATGTAAAATATGGAATGGGGACCACGACATATGGTCGCTATTTTGCGACCATCACCATGATTGTGATGACGACGATATTTGATGTGCTGGGTTTGACAATTGGAATTGGCAGCAGGTAAGCCAACAAAAGACAGGCGCAGAAGAAGGGGAGGAGGCCAATGTATGCTACCAGTGGCAGCGATTCAGTTCAAAAAACTAAAGGTTTCGGCGATGCAGAAGCTTTTCAAGTTCCATTTCAAAGAAACCTCTGACTAATACAGGAGGAAATGCAACACTAATACCGTAATGATAATGAAGAAGAGAGGAAAAGGTCAGTCAAGAGTGCCAGCTGTCTGACAACCTAGGAAAATCTAAGAACGAACGGAGACACTCCACACTCCCTCCTCACTCCACCTCGCTGACGCTGTGGCTGGGTATCAGCAGGGCAACCACCACGCCATGCTCTCACACACGTCGTAAACCCCTCCTAACCGAACACGCGACACGAACCTTCGCTTCCACTGCCGCCAAGTCCAAATCAGAGGCTTTGGTGCGCTTGCGGGACTCTTTGGCGGCAGCGGCAGTGGCAGCGGCCGCCGCCGCCGCCGCCACGTCGCCGCCGCCCGTCACCGCTGGATCTACGGCTACTGCCGATCCAGCCGCCGCCGATCCTGCACACGCCTGCTCCTGGGCTACCGCCGCCGCCGCCGTGGCCGCTGCGGAACGCTTGCCGCCGCCGGCGGCTTTTGCACTCCTTCCTGCCGCCGCCGCCGCAGCAGCAGAAGGCTTCTTTGCGACCGCTGTCGGGGGAGCCGTCGCCACGGGTACCGGCGCCGGCTGCACGACGACGCCCTCCTCGCCGTCACCCACATTGACGTCATCGCATAGGCCGGCCGCCACAGCGGCGGCACCGTCAGCAGCTGCCGGACTCGGCGGCGGTACGGCGCCGTCATGCATTGCAAGTGGCGGCAGCTGCACAATACACGCGGCGGCAGCAGCAGGCGCGTCTGCCGCGGCAGCAGGCGCCAAAGGCGGCCCCGACGGCGGCGGTGGCGCCGCCGCCGCCGTCTTTGCACGCTTCCTTATGGGAGCGCCGTCGGCGCCCACCGTCGCGGCTTTGGGTGCACGCTTCGCCGCCGCCTTGGGCGCCGCCGCAGCGCCGCCGACCTCCGCCGCCGCTTCCCCCGATGCTCCCGTTGCCGCCACCGCTGCCGCCTTGGCGGTCTTGGCGGCTTTGGTTTTCGTACCCGCTGCGGTCTTGGCGGCGCCGCCAGCGACCTTTCCTCCCGCCTTGGTGGCTGCCGCGGCGGCGGCGGCGGCGGCGGAAGCCTTCTTGCCCGCCGCCGCCGGCCCTGCGGCCTTTAGCAGCGCCCGCGCAGCAGCACCGCCGCCAGCTTTCAAAGTACTTCGCGACAGCCCTAGAGCGGACGAACCAAACTGCGGCACGCGCGGCGCGCAGCGGGCCGCGGCGGCAGCGGTACCGCTGCCACCGCCGCCGTACCTTGTACGATTAGCCTCGCCCCTTTCCGAGACAGCTGCGCGAGATGAGCACCCGAGGTCATCCTCTCCCGCTTCTAGCTGCGCATGGATGTGCAGGTTCCCCACACCGCGAGGGGGAGGGGGGAAAAGGAGACGAACCACACACGAGTGAAGCTGATACCAGAGATAGACTAGCGGATAGAGGGCCTGGAGGAGATGTAGGCGTTTCACAAGTAATGTACCTTAGGGTTTGAAAAGTATTGCACCTTAGTTGCTTTAAACTATCAAACGTTGGAGGACGGGACAGGGATGGTCGGCACCGAAACCAAGGAATGCGTTTTCAAGCCTTCCGCGCATCCAGCACATCTTTTTCCCGAGAGAATAAAAAATGCATCAGACAGCAACGACATCTACAACTAACAACGAAGCTAGGGGTAATGTGATACAAAGCTGAACAACTGGACACCTACAAATTTTTGAGTTGAATTGTATTCAATTCAATTCAATTCAATTCAACCTACAAATTAAACTTACCATTTAACAACCCCCCGAATCACTCCAGCTAGCCCCAAACCAGCCCAACACCCAACCACCCACCCACCCTTTCGCAAAACAGCGAGAGGAAACCCCGCAGAGGCAACACCCCATGGCCGGCCCCCAGGACACCCCCCCAACCCCATGGCCCCCCTCCACAAGCACTTTACCAGACCGCCACTAACTAACCCGTCAACTTGGGAGGTAAGCCGGCGGTACGGCAGGTTAAAACCCTCCCAGTAACCCTCCTCTATACCTAAGGGCACACAGCGACAGCCGCAGCTGGCGCAGCCACCAAGGTTGGCTCGTAGGAGGTATTGGCTCGCGACTTCTTCTTGCCCGCCGCACCGTTACCACTTGCCTTCCGGGCCGCAACAAACCCTTGGTGCCGCTCCCAGAACGCCTTCTCCTTGACTCTGTTAGCGGCCCTCAGCTCCGCCGCCGCGCGAAGTGCCTCGTCACTGCTGCGTTCCAAAATCGCCTCCCGTACCGCTAGGCTCCCGCCGTCGCCGCCGCTGACGCCGCCGCCGGTGCCGTCAGCCTCATTGCCGTACAGCGCCTCCGCCAGCGCGGCGTCAAACATGCCTGTAGCGCCGCCGGCGTCGACTGCACCGCTGATGTCCGGATCGATTGTACGGCGGAGGACTTGTGCCGCCGGTGCTAAGGAGACTGCCGCCCGGAAGCCCGACGCTACCACTTCCACCGCCGCCGTCCACCCGGTATTCTCCTCCACTGGCGGCGGCTGGGCGGACGCCGCCGTCCCTGCTGCTGCAGTCCCCGCCACCACCGCCGCCGCCGCCGCCGCCACCGGCGGACCTACGGCCTGGCGCTTCGCCAGCGCCGCTTCAGCACCCGGCGGCGCCTCCATCCGTGCCGCAAGGCCGGCAGCTCCCCAAAACGGAAAGCCGCCGCCGGCGCCGCCACAGGTACAGGACGCAAGGACCAAATCCTTCACCAGCTGCTCCACCACATGCTCATGACTGCATGTCGCCTGAGCCGGCGGAACCGGCGTAAGCCCCCCAGCTGCGGCGGCCGCGGCGCCCGAGGTTGCGGCGCCGGCGGTCCACAAGCAGCACCCGGGCACGTCCAGTGCGTCGTCGGGGTCGGCCTCCGGGCTGGCGGCCACCTCCGCTATAAACCCCCCGAGGCCGTCCGGCAGCCGCAGGCCAAAGCGTGCTAGCCAGGTGTTTCGGAGGCGCTGTACCGCAGCGGGGTTGGCTGGCAGGGGCTTTAGGCCCACAACGCAGGCGACGCTGTCCCGCAGGTCGGAGCGAAGGGTGCCGTACAAAAGAGGGGAAGAGGGGAGGGAAGAGGGATGTGGAACTAGAAATGGGGCTGTGCGAGAGCCGCAGGACAGTACAGACGACGAAACCGTAAAAGAAGGTTACCAGTACCCGATTAGGGGGGCCAGGATGTGGGCGTTTGTTATTCATATAAATATATTATATAACATATTACATATATTAAATATAAATATATTATATAACATATTATATATATATATAATATATAGGGTATATACAGGGTTTTACAGCTAACATCGTTCCACACAGCAACTGACCAATACTGACCAAAATACTCGATCAGATTAAAACTACAATATAAAACAACAAGTCGACTCGGAGGATGCAGCCTTTCCCGTACAGTACGGCAAAACTCACACGCCGGGACCCACAACGATGACCCGGCTATCTGAGAGTCGCGCCACGGTCCGCCGCATCGCGACCCGGTCCGCAAACAACCCTGCCAGGGCGACCTCCCGAGCCGCCTCCGTCATCTTCTCCTCCGCCGCCGGCTCCTCCGCCGCCGCCGGGCCCGCCGCCGCCGCCACCGCAGCGTCCGCACCGGCAGTACCAGAAGAAGTGGCAGCGGACGTTCGCGGTGCCGCGGCCGTGGGCTGTTTTTGTTGTTGCAGCCGCCCGAGCGGCCCAAGCGGCCACAGAGGACAGAACTTGTACATGCCTGGGGCCCCGCAGCCACAGTTGGGGTGTGTGTGTGTGTGTGGTAGGGGGGGGAGACGAACCACGAACGAGTGAAGCTGGTAAGGGGGAAAGGGGTGGAGAGTAGGGTTGGCGAAATACAGAGGCGACGGTAACACCGGGAGAGGGCGGCCGGCCCCCCATGGGGTCAGCTGGGGCCGGGCCGGGGCGGGGGTAGAAATACTGCAATGTACTGCAAGAAAACACCCACCCCCACACAGCACGTAGGACCCAGCGCCAACAGGAAGGCTGGTCAATTCGAAGAAGGGAAGGAAGGTGAGCAGAGGACATTCAGCGACCCGGGGTTGAATGGCACCCCGTGACCGAGGTAACCAACGTCCATCCACACTCACCCGGAATCCGGAAATCCAGAGCCATAGTCGCAGTGGAGGGAGAGACGGGCTGTACGGATAGCTCCGTAGCTGGGACGATTGCCGTACGGCCCGGTGTCGCGGTCAAGAAGTCACAACGGACCCACATAGGGCCCAGTCTGTGAGACCCACAGATCCCCAGAAGAGGAGGAGTCGCGAGATGTCGGGACGACCACACGTGTGCGGACATTGCATGTGCGGGTAGGTTTTAGGGTTTTAGAGTTTTAGCCGTTGCTTTGTGGTTACGTGCCGGTGGATCCTCAGTGAGTAACGTTACCTGCCTAGGGTTCTCAAAAAGAGCAGCTGGTTTTGGAGCTTGTCGACCAGTGTTTTTAAAGTTGACTGGCTATTTCATCCTGGACAAGTGATATTGTGGGTGGGAACATCGCCGTATGCATGTGTGCATGGTGGGTTATAGTATGGATGCGTGGGATCTAGCAGCGTTAGTGTTGGTAGTGGATACGAGTAGGAATTGCTAGTCTAAATGTCAAGAGGTTCCCGCAGAGCCAAAATGGTTGCCGTACTGCATGTTCGTACATCGAGTGCCGACGCGGCTAACGACTCCCAACCCGGATGCCGACCCAAATCGACCCAAATCAATTCCAGTTTCTAGATCGAAGCCAAATCCAAATCAGATCCAGTTTCCATAAGACATAAGATCTTTGAGAAAATAATGAGCGACCCAGATCTGGTGGACGGGGTGGCCTTGACTTGTCCCAGGCTTTTCAATTAATGTGACAGACCAGGGATGTGCTTTGAAAGGTGAAGGTGCAAACGAAAGGCACGGTAGGATAGCTTGTGCGATTCGGTCTCTCGGGTTTCAAACTTGGGTCAAACTTATGCCGTTTATTTTGAAACGATGTAGGAGAAAGCGACGGACGGGAACGATAAATACCTACATATGCAATTCACGTACAAGGATGATCTAGGACCAACAAAGATGATCGCTTTTTTTTCTCTGCTTGTTGCAGGAAATACATATTTCAGTTCGCGGATGTGTACTGTACTCGCCTGTTCCAGCCTTGCAAACGCAGCGCCTGGCTCACGGCTGCCTCTGCTGTCCTCTGCAGGTCCTCGTATTGCATGGGTGCCACAACCACGGTCGATTTGACGTCTCCAAGTTTGAATCCCAGCTTTGCGGCATTTGCTGCAAGCGCCTTATAGCCAGTAGCAGCGTTGGCCTGCGGGACAGAAAGACCGGCAGCGCGCATGAACAATTACAAAATCAGATGCGAACGAAGCTGTGCAGGACGGCGGCATGTTTTTTTCAAGACTGAAGCAAACCTGGAAGCTTTGTCCAGCATATGTCGCGAGTTAAAGCCAAAAAAGAGGATGTCCACATGACAGCAACTTACCTTCCCACAAACGACAACGGTGACCTGTTCATAGGTCGCAGTAGGCCAGCTAATTGAAGGGCCGCCGGGCTGGAGACCGCACAAAGATGCGGTGAGCTGCAGGGCTGCAAGTCTCTCGGCGGTGTCTTCTTCACCAAAACTGTCATTTTCTGTGGAGAGGCTTCCAGCCTTGGATGACACCAGTAAACGGATCAGGGGTGCGCTGGATTCCTGTGCTGCGTTAATCCACCGACGACATTCCCCTGGCATCTGCTCTATCTTTAAAATAAATACTAGTGGTGGCTTTCATTCGTCATGGAGGAAAGTATACCTCAAATGTATGCGCGCGTGAACCAGAAACGACCCCCGGGGCACTCCTTAAGGAAGGCACTTAAATTCCGCTGCAAGCATGCCTAGGAGATAACAATACAAATGCCATAAAAATGCTTACAATACCTCTCCTGCACTTTGCTAAGGAAATTGACAATTTTGGAGCATTGGGAATCGTTGTCACTGCTGCTGTTCAAATCCATTGTACGGCTTTAGCTCTTTTCATTCTTCTAGCGGCCGGATTTGGCCGCAATGGCGTTGGCGCGATTCCCTATCACTTGTGCGTCTCTGGCAGCTGCTGCTGAAATGTTTCAAGTGGGCACGAACAGTGGGTAAAATCGCCGGTCTTTCGCTTAGTCATGCGGAACAAATCGGAAAGGATCAGTTACAGTTATGTGGCTACTTATCTGCGTCAGCGTTGATGTCGATAAGACTAAGTTATCTAGTTCTTCTTTAGGATGCAATCATTACAAGGGGAACAGGGAACCAAACCACATCACTAGCCGTACATGCTAGCGGTTGACAAAAAAAACCTTCCCCAGGGCACGTACTCCAAAGCAAAAAACAGGGAGCCGTGCATTCGCAAGCAACCCAAATCCACAAATTTCCATGCCTTTAAACAAAAGAAAGGGCACAGCATACACCCGGACTCTCAGACAGGGTGCATGGACGAGAAGAAGGACAAGGAACCAACCCCCAACGCTAGCAGAATATGCACACAGACTCCCTGCGGGAGCCGGGCAGGTGCAAGTACCCGAGGGCCGCTTATTCCAAGCCTACAGCAGATTGCCGCCAACGACTTAAGGCACGAGGCGCACCCAGGGAGCCCTAGGTTGGAACACACTACCGCGACCCACGAACCAAAGCCACCATCAAGCTCCACATCACGGCCCCCGGCGGTCTTACCATCAAGGGTCTGTAACACAGTCCGAGGATTGCACGCCACGCAGGAAGAGTCAACGCTGCCAAGTACAGCAACGACCACGCCGTACACCGTCACACAAGGGCGGGGAAGCAGAGTTGGGGGTTCCCCCAAAGACAATACAACCGGTTGTGATTGTGGTTGTTGTTGTGGCTGTATGTGTGTGTGTGTGTGTGTGTGTGTGTGTGTGTGTGTGTGTGTGTGTGTGTGTGTGTGTGTGTGTGTGTGTGTAAAAGGGGGTATATCTTCATCCGTGGCAGCTACCCTGCGAAACCCTGCCTTCCCCGGTATTTCGGGGCACCCTCATCCAGTCACCCAAGTCAACTTCTCAGTGGATTGCTCAGGTTCCGCACCCACCACCAGCATCCAACGGAATCTGCCGGGTCTACAGCGGCCCAACTCCATTCCTGATCGGCTCGCAGGTTAACTTTATCCCAGGTCAACACCGTCCATCACCCAGGGGCGCAGTACCTTCCTTACGACCCTGGCAGGTGTTGATCCCGGGATCTCCCGGGGGCAATGGTCGCGCGTTACCAGTAGTGCCTAACCATGTATACTCCGATATATTCATGAGAAAGCCTCTACAACTACAGGAAACGATTAACCTCGTTAAGTACCACTTTTGCGATAAGATTGCATAGCACTATAGCATATTAATCTATATTTTATCCGCGAAGCGCGCGAATACGGACGGAAATCTCTAACTAATCGCGCCAACCTTAATCCGCTTAATCCGTCCTAATCCGCCGATATTTCCATATGAGATTGATTAAGCCTTGATCTGCGACTTTTAATCCAAGAGGAAACACCCCCTATGAAAGTCAGAGTTGACGAGCGGGACGTGATCGTCACTGTGACTAGTAACAGTAGTGATGGCCTGGAGGCACGGTTTCAGAAACTGGAGCGCGCCTTCGCCTACAGCTGCAAGCCCAGAGTGCAGAACGCTGCGGCGCAGGTCCTAGACGCAGCGCTGAAGGGTTTCAAGAAGTCTGAGAGCAAGCGGTTTCAGCAGCTGGGCACTGAAGACGCTGGACTCAACGCTGCGTCTACAGCTTTCGGCGTTTCGGCAGAGACGTTTGCCAGAAAAGCAGATGCTCTCATTACGCGGCGGAACGCGTCGGTCCACCCCTCTACGCTCGAGGAACTGAATGACGAGGTGGAGGAAGTCAGCCACATGATTACGCCGGCTGTCAAACAGCTGCTAAACTGGGAGTGCCGCGTCATCGAGATGTACGACGCTATCAAGACCGCTTTCCCGATGTACCTGCAGAAGGTCAACAACTGAGGTGGGAGCTTTGGGGTTTGGGGGAACCAGCACCCCTTGAATTTTTTGCATCTTAGCATAGCTGAATCAGGCACAAAGGCTGCTAAGATGCCAATCCTACCAGTTCAATGCTATCAGATTAGTGGAACAAGGCTACGATAGCGGTTTGGGACAAAGGAGGCTGAAGGTGGTGAGAGAGAAGGACAGCAGTGGGGGCGGCTGAAGACCAGGGAAGTCACGCTAGTGTGGGAGTGCAAAGGAAAGCGAGGTGGCATGAGGTTGGTCGCCGAGGGGGTGACATCGGACGGGAGGCGGCCATGTCCAAGACTCGTACCAACCTGACTAGTGCACCCACCCTTCCCAGAAGCTTGCATGCGGTGTAATCCGTAGGCCAGCTGGGCATGCTACTGCGGGGTTGCACTGCTAGAGGGTGGAAGCAGGCGATTTCTGGGATGAACTCCAGAGCACATGCTCCTCCCCAGAAGCATCATGTTAACAAGCGCCAACCCTGTTATTGGTCGTGCAGGGGCTTGGCGTGCATTGTAATGGCGCTTACCTCTTGCCGGCCACCAACTGTGGCTTCCTCGTACTGTGCTACCTGTGTCACCAGTGCATCTCCCATGGGGCTCTGGCAGGCCGCTTACCAAGGCCGCCGTACAACGAGGCTGCATGCTGCCGGTCCTGCAGTGGAGGAGGGCTCCCCGGGAGTGGGATGAGGTGGTGGTGGCGGAGGGGTGAGGACAGGAGGAGAGAGACATGAGGGTGGTGCAGTGTGGGAGGCACAAAAGCGACACCATGAGGAGCGGCGGCAGCGGCTGTTGCGTGTGATGCTGTTGTGGTGAAGTCAGACAGCAAATCGCAAGGCGGTGGCGTCGAGATCTGCGCAGGGTGGTCAGCACCATAAGGGTCTGCATGGTGGAGCGGGGGTTTGGATGCTCTGGGGTTGCGGGTGAACTGTGGTAGACCATTGATCTCTCAAGGAGACATGTTCGGCAAGGACTGCGTCTAGGTTTTTTGAAAACTCCGTAAGCCAAACTGCTGCTATGAACCTCTAAAATAAGTAGCGGTGCACTGGGGTTTGCTGTGTCCACGATGTAGCAAGAACGTGTGTGTGCAAGATGTTTGGAGGTTGCAGGGGTTGGGAATAAGGCACACATAGGGCTTTATTCAAAAAAATTTCTACCCATAATTTTTTTATGATTCCCATTCGTTATTTTTGTCAACTCGCCCGCTATTTTTCCGCTTGACAAGGCCATCATTTTAAGAATATCCAAAAATTGTTTTCTTGCTGCTTGAATTTGGTTTGTGGGCTTTAAAAACTACAATTCAAGTATGTTACTGCGGCCCTCACACTGTCAGCTGCATGAGTCGATGCGGATGTGTTTCCCTCCTTCAGCATCACACTCTGGGTACCGGGTAGCAGGGGTACAACCGACACGGGCCAACAGCTATGTTCACATGGGCCAACAGACGGACTTGGCTTGGAGATGCAGGGATGGGGGGCCATTGGTTTGTGGTTGTACTGTTGGGGTGGCGGCACACACGTGGGGAGAATGGGTGTTTATAGTAATCCAGGGGGCAAGGAAGCGTCACTTGGTCCGGCCCACTGCGTCCGGCCCACTGCGTCCAGCAAGCTAGAGAGGTTGGCACCTGCTCCAGCGACCGGAACACTCGCTCCGTCGCCGCCGTCTGCTGGTGCTGTTGAAGTTGGATTTGAAGCTGCGAGGATGGCGGTTGGCGTGCCCGTCACCAGGCACCCTAAGTGTTTTTTTGAAGACGTGTACCATGGCTGAAAATGGTGCAGACAGACGCCGCACAGCTCAAGGTTACAAGTGTCATTTGATGTCACAGCTTGGCATGGCCGTCAGGCCCCGGCCGGGATCACACTTTTTCGCGAGTTTGGTATCTTTGCGAGAAACGGTCGTGACAATCAACGGTCATCAACGGTCATGACATTTCTGACATGTCATGTCAGAGGTTTGTAGAGGCCAACGATCGGGGAATACGAAAGTCGCCAATGAATGGTATACACGCCAGCAGTACCTTGCAACTCACGGCAGAGGGCATAGGACAGATTTTAATACCTGCAACGCATGTGTAATGTCTTGCAGTTCGTTAGCGCGCGCTTCTGAGACCATGTCGTAACTTCGGAGCTAGTGGAGCTTGAACTTGTGTGTACGATGTGTGAGGTTGTGGCGCGCTAATATGACTATGTAAGCGGACCAAATTATGAACATAGTAAGCCTAGGTTGAGGTTGAAACTCCGATCCTCTGTGCCTACGCAAGTATATCGGACAGTAAAGTCAGCTTACGCTTCCCAGTTGTTAGGAGCGGCCTGGTTCTCTTTCAATTGGTATCAGAGCCTAGGTGATCCTCCTCGCCGAGCTCTTCATCGTCGTCGCCATCGTCTTCGTCGTCATCGCGCTATCGTGCCATCGTCTGCATCCTCTTCACTTCGTCTTTGCCCTCATCACTTCGTCTTCGTCCTCTTCACCTCATCTTCGTCCGCCTCAACAACTATGTCGAGAACGAGTTCCCGCTTCCGCCTCTTAACTTCCCTGCCGCCACCGACCCCGTGCCCGCGGCGCCCCCCGCACCCACCACGTCCGAAGCCGCTCTTCCCTGGGATCGAATCTCAGAAATCGCCGCCCATGCTGCCATCCGAACCTTACAGAATCGATCGTCACCGGCCAACCAAACCAACCAGCGCGGACCGGCTCCCCGCTTCAACCCCACTGCCAAGGACGCCGACCT